AACCACGTCCAGGCTGGTTTTGAATGTCTCCAGAGAAGAAGACTCCACAACCTCCCTGGACAGCCTGTGCCAGGGCTCTGTCACCCTCACAATGTTTTTGTGGAACCTCCTATGCTCCAGCTTGCACCCATTACCCCTTGTCCTATCACTGGACATTGCGAAGAAGAGCCTGGCTCTGTCCTCCTGACACCTTTTACGTATTTATAAACATTAATGAGGTCACCCTTCAATCTTCTCCAAGCTGAAGACGAGATGAAACCTATGCAATAAACTGTAAGAGGACTGGTAGAAAAAAGTTAAATAACATTGTAGTTGGGAGTTTTATATGCTTTTATTTCTTCCAAAGCCAGCCCAGAGTGTTTACATTATTAAATATTAAATACTCTGGCTAAATACAGTGCTCAACAAGGTCTGCCTTGCTTGGTTTGTCTCTGTACCTGGTAATGTTGGGACGTGTGGCAGAAGTTTCACAGCAGTTCTGTGGCAGGCCTGGCAGTCCTGCTGGTTGGCCGACACTTCTTAGTCTGAACCAAGTGTCAGGTCACAGTTAGCCAGAGGTCAGGCTGAAAACTGATCTGCATCGACAGAGCTTAGTTAACAAAACTTTTAGGAGTGTTCTAGTGAAAACTCCCATGATGGTGAGTGTAAGCCTTCCTTACATTCACATGCGGCCTTACTTTTCCCACTGCAGTATGTTTTTGTTCCTTAACTACTTTCTAATACTTGGTCTAAATTATGGTCAGGTTTGAATTCCAAGTAGGATATGCATTTAAGTGTTGGGATTTTTTTTTCTTTCTTCTCACTGTAATGTATGCTTATTTTTAAACAGCCTTACTATTTTACAGGCTTTTGATTTTCTATATAGCTTCAGTTTGGTGCCTTTTTCACAGGCCAATGGCAAATTTGATACCACACTGAAATGTTTTTGCTCATCAGCATGTCTCAAGGAATGATGCTGGTATATACAAGGCATGCTGGAAGGATCCTGAGTATGCTAAATGCTGTGAATCGTGTATTGTTTAGGTTTGGTATTTAGAATTAAGTTCTGCGGGGTAATTGAAGTTTCATATACAAAGTAAACATGATAAAAAGTGAAGTTTTAGGGTACATGAGGTACTTCTTATGGAAGGGGAAAGGCAATTGGTTTCCAGAAGATGATTATTCTGAATGTAAGTTAAAGTTTTTTTATTTCTCCTTTTTATCTTTTGCTTCCCACCTTGTGGCCCGTTTATTTCAGGCTCCATGGTGTTTTGGATAAGCTGCGATCTGTGACTACGGGTAAGTAAGAAAATTCAGTGAAACTTTTTCATGTCGTGTTGTGTGTCTAATGAGTTTCAAAAACATCCTAGCTGAGTGTTTTGTTAATTTTCAATTTATATAGTCTTTTGGGTCCTGGGTCTTTAGAAAACCACCTGGCTGTTTATCTCTTTTGAGATAAAGAACTTGTTTTTGAGTCCAGGATGTATTACTGGGTGTTTCTTACTGACATCTTCTGCTGAAACAGCTTGTCTTCAGTTTTTTAGCTGCATTCACTGCAAAGTCTATGTTGCTGTGCTTTGATGTAAAATGAAAAGTTACCTGTCTCCACAGAACCAACTAGTGTAAAATTGTCAGAATCCAGTATCTTTGAGAGCAACCTTCCTTCCAGCAAAAGCAGTTCCTGTGTGAGTGATGAGAGGAGGCGTGAGGATGTCTTGCCACCTCTTGCAGTTTCCAGCACTCGGACTGAAAGAAGTGACTCAAGAGTTTCAACTAGCTCACAGGAGCAAAGGAACAACGCTTCACGGTAAAGCTTCTGGTTGCTTCCTAACACCCATTTGGACATTAGCAGCTGTGTGACTGCAGTAGCCGTTCTGGAGAGCACAGCTACTTGGAAAGATCAAAGTAGTTTTGAAGGGTAAAAAATTGTTACAGTCTGTTACATAAGAAACCGTTAAATTAGGAGTTCAGTTCCCTTTCTTTAAGCAACAGATAGGCTTAGATTAATTAATGAAACTAAAAACTGTGATCAACTTGTTCGATTTCTATGAACAGTAATACTGGAATGATTCTTCCCTGCTGGCTTCATTTAAAAGAGAGTTCTCATTTTCCAGAACTTTATTTGCAGATGAGTTAATAGTTGGCAATTTCTTATTTTTATCAGGCAGTCTTCTGAAGATGGTTCTGCATCCCGCTTAACATCTACAGTCAAGCCTTTGAGGGAATTATCACCTTCTGAAGCTGTAATTGACATTAAACCTGAACCAGATGATCTAATCGATGAAGACCTAAACTTCGTGCAGGAGAATCCTTTGTCACGGAAGAAACCTATTGTAACTGTAACTTACGGTTCTTCTCGTCCTTCTGCTGAAATCTACCGACCGCCAGCTAGCAGGAGTGCCGATGGCACTGTACACATGCACAGATTGTCACAACAGGGCAGCTTACAGGGGAGCCGGCAGTTAGATGCGCAGAGCTGCAGGTCTTTGGAAAGCGGCCAGCCCTGCGATCCAGAAGCGTTTGGCAGCTTAGCAGAAAGTTACAAACCCACCTCCAAACTTAGTGCCGATAAAGCAGGCGGTGAGGTTGGTATGATCTAAGCTGTTGCAATATTTTACACTTGCTAGGAACCTAAATTACTGTGTACGCATCCAGTAAAATATTCCAGAGAAACTGAGGGACTTCAGTCACTGGTACTAGTAGTTCAGGGCTGAGTGATGGTTCTTACAGGAATTACTGATGTGTGCTTTCACCTGTGCTTTCTCACAGCCTAGCATTTAAATTTGTCAGTACCACAGGCTCTTGCGGTGGTGGCAAATGGCTGTGTCACAACAGGGACCTTGCATTGCCTAAGCTGGACCATCATGACTCAGCATAGCTATTGGAATCCTCTGGAATATGTCAGCTTGCTACGTATTAATCCTTACACTATTCTGAAATTAGAGTTGATACAGAGGAGAAAGTCATTCATACTGATGTAATTTTTCTCTGGCTTTCAACAGGGTCATCTTGAAGGGTAGCATGAATTTCTTTGGAAAACTCTGCTTTTTACTGCAGATGTTGGATAAAATGTCTGTACTTTAGACTTTTTCATTCTCCTTTTCTAAATGTTATTTACAGTTACGTGTCTGATTTTCATCTTCTCTAATGCTATCACTTGTTTCTGTAAACAGTCCAGTAGTTCTAGACTCACGCAACTTCAATGGAAGTTCTCCATCTTCTGGTTATACTTAGAATTGCAATGTTTTCTTTACTGGTTTATTAATACATGCTTCGTACTAAATTAATTGTTTTGGCTGCTCTGTTTATTGTAGGAAGAAACCTTCAGGAAGAGACGGTTGCCTGTTGTAAGCTCAGTAGTGAAAGTGAAAAAGTTCTGTAATGAAGGGGAAGATGATGACGATGAGGAAGACTATGGATTGCGAACAGGAAGCATCTCGAGCAGTGTGTCTGTGCCTGCAAAGCCAGAAAGAAGGTACTTAAGGTTTCAGTGATTCTGTGTGGTTTCCAGAATGGATATAATGAACAAAAACTTTGAAAGTGGAAGTTGGGGAAAACTGTTGGCAGCTTTGAAAATTGCCAGACAAATATTTTTTGTACTGTCTCACAACTCTGGGCATCTGTTTACACCACCTTTTTTTCTCAGATTTTGTAACGTGCTTTTATTATTGTGCATAAGCTGTAATTGAATGTGAACTTTTACAGTATTTGGGGAAAGTTTTATTTCAGGAATAGCTTTCAAACCAATTATTGCTTGTTGTTTAAGGTGATTTTAGCTTTTTAAAAGACGTGAGAGATTTTTCCTTTTTTTCTGTTCCCTAATTCTGTCTGAATCTCAGGTGTCGATGGTTCATATCTGATTTTCAACACTAAGAGGAAGAACATTTAAACTATGGAAGAGATGGTTCTACTGATCTACAGTGCTAGCTTGCATAAGATTTGTTTTAAGCAAATACACTTAATTGAACTTATCTTCAAGGCCACAGCACGTTTATCTGATTTAAGCTTCCTTATTGTTGACGTTCAAAGACAAATGAAGGTTTTTTTACAGCTAATACGGTTTTGACAGAGTCAATTTTCCGCTGGATCTTACTCCGCAGGGCAGCCACATAGTTACCAGTGCCAACACAAATGTAGCATGAGGCGTGCAGGGCCAGAGGTGGGAGGAGATAAATGGCAGAGCTTGCGTCTTTCACATGCTGCCTGATTTTACAGCAGCTTAAGCTGAGAGATGAAATCATGCCTCTGGACTTAGAGCATTTTGTGGATTTTTTTTCTTAGAGCATTTTGTGGATTTTTTTTCTTAGAGCATTTTGTGGATCCCTGTCCACTCAGAGAACAGTAACAAGCTGAAAACAGCTACAAATGGAGTGGGTTTAGATTATTATTTTTCTATCAGTATTATGCATAACTTTGTTAATGTGTTGAAATATCTGTGTTTAACAATGAATACAGTTGCTGTTGCAATTTATGTACAAATAATTATTTTTTCATCTCCTTTAGGCCTTCATTGCCACCTTCAAAACAGGCCAATAAGAATTTAATACTGAAAGCAATCTCTGAAGCACAGGAGTCAGTTACAAAAACAACCAATTATTGCACTGGTAATAAGCATTGGTTTTGTTTAAGCATTTTTTTTGTTTGTTTGCTGTAATATTTCCAAGCTCTGTTTTATAAATCCAAGCTAAAGATGGTGCTTAGTGATAAACCAGAATGTCAGTAAGCTGCAAACTGACTGCTCTCAGTCAACCTGTAAACTAATAAACCTTAACGTCACTGTGACTTTCTTCCCTATTTTCTTGTCATTACTTGTATTTTCAAGGTTGTACAAGTGCTAGTGAGTAGATCTAAAGGCATGAGAGGTGTATGGAGTGTTCTCTGTTTGAAAGCTCTTGAATTAGAGGAGATGTCTGCGCGTGCTGGCAGTGGGACGTGGAGTGAGCTGGTTTTAAAAGAGGATAAGTTGTACGGATGACTAATAAAGATCACTGCCCAACTTAGAACTGAGGAGAAAATAGCTAAGAATAGTTCCAGTGAACTACTGAATTGACTACTTGCGGTAATTGAGCCTCTAAAAGAAAATTGTGCTGCTTCAGTAACAGCAAATAATGTAAATGACTCCCAAACATTGAGAACTTGTCTTCATTCTAGACAGTGAGCGCAATGAGCAGCTTCTTAAGAAAAGAGGTAGAAGCACTAGTCCTCCTAGGTTCTGATGCCAGTTATCTGCCAAGGAAAGTTCATGGTGGAAGAAGCAGCAACACAGGGAACAGGGCTTTGAGGTGATGCAGGAAAGCTCTTTCCTGTGTACATAGCAATATGGCAGGAAATAGAACACAGTCAGAAAATATTTAGATTAAATAAAACTGCTGATTTTTAATAGTAATGATCTAGTAGTTTGAGTTACCAGTACAACAATATTTCAGTGGAAAGACCAAAAAGCACCATTTTGTCACTCAGTACAGAGGTGATTTGAGAATTTTATGTGAAGTGTCATGCCACTTCAGAGAAAGTTTTGTGTGGTTTTTTTAAGTAATTTGAGTGGAATGTGGAAATAAGCTAATTAGAAATATATAGGTAAAATAAAAAGGTAAGATTGTAAATGGCAAATCCAGTACTGAGTGGTACCTTTTAGTTGTGTGCGTCAGAAGTTGAGTGCTTATGTGATATTCAGCCAAGGGAAGAATATACTTAGTTTTTCACAACCAGTTCTGACAGTCTTAGCAGAAGCCAAGTAAAGAACTCAACCTTGTCGTGCTACCCCAAATTCCATGCTACAGCTACCTGGCAGGAGATTGTAACGAGGTGAGGATCAGTCTCTTCACCCAAGTAACTAGTGATAGGACAAGAGGACATGGCCTCAAGTTGCTCCAGGGGAGGTTTAGATTGGGTATGAGGAAAAACTTCTTCACCAAAAGAGTTGTTAAGTATTGGAACAGACTGCCCAGGGGAGTGGTTGAGTCACCATCCCTGGAGGTATTTAAAAGATGTGTAGATGAGGTGCTTAGGGATACAATTTAGTGGTGGACTTGGCAGTGCTAGGTTTTGGACTTGATTATCTTAAGGGTCTTTTCCAACCTTAATGATTGTATATGATTATGCTGTCACTGAGTTTGAAAGGCTTTTTGCAAGCGTTTTAGCATAGGGCAGCTGGTGCTGTATAAAAAGTACATGTTGATAATTCATGATTGTTTATATGGAAGGTGGAATGAAAAGTGATTTCAATACCATTAAGAAACTACCAAATTAATTATGTGTAGAGGTGGGCGAATGAATAATTTGCTGATGTCATGCTAATCCTTCTCGTGCTGTTTGGTCTGACAAATAGATGTTCTGAGGTGCCTCTCATAGAGTGTTCCGTGCATGTGCATGAATATGCTTTCAGACTAGGAATGCTGCGGGTAGCTAAAGATGATTTTTGTGAAGACAGATGCTTGGGATTTTTTTTTTG